CTATACTTCCAGCTTCTCTGGAAGCCAAGGCAGGAGTATCACTTGAGTCTGGAGTTGGAGACCAGCCTAGGCAACATAGCAAGACCCTGTTTCTATAAAAATAAAGGGTAGAACCAACAAGGACTGGGTCATCGATTTAATATGGAGGGTGAAAGAAAAGTGAAATATGATGCTCAGGATTCTGATTTAAGTGACTACCTTTTACTGAGGTAAGTTATATAGGAAATGGCTTCTGGAAAACATTAGTAAGGTCAGTTTCTTAAACATAGAATCCATGGTCGTCTTCTGAGATATCCAAATTGGTTATGACCAGAATGTGAATAATTATACTAAGCTAAAGGAATAGATTTAAGAATTAGCAACAGTGGCTGGGTCCGGTGGCTTATGCCTGTAATCCTAGCACTTTGGGAGGCTGAGGCGGGTGGATCATCTGAGGTCAGGAGTTCGAGACCAGCCTCGCCAAAATGGTGAAACCCCATCTCTCCTAAAAATGCGAAAAAATTAGGTGTGGTGGTGGGCACCTCTAATCCCAGCTGCTTAGGCTGAAGCAGGAGAATTGCTTGAACTGGGGCGGGGGGCTTGCAGTGAGCACAGATCGCAGCATTGCACTCCAGCCTGGGTAGCAGAGCGAGACTGTCTTAAAAAAAAAAAAAAAAGCAATGGTTTATTAGTGTATGTGTAATAGTTGCAAGATTTAAGATCACCTAGAGTATGCAGAGAGAAATGAGAGGGACATAACTCAGAAATATTAAATCCAAAGAGTGAACAGGAGGAAGACCCCAAGAAGTCCCTGAGTCATTTCAGAGATTTCCCCCACTCATCCAGGGGAAAGTTTAGGTCAATAATGTGAAATAGCACAAGGGTCAAATGTCTACAGAAATAAAACCATGTCTCAAATTAAGACAAACAAGTAGATTAGAGACAGATTTTGAAAGGCAAGGTGATTTTAAGTTTGTTGGGCAGAAAGAGAGGCATGGTAAGAGTTGCAGTTAACTAACTGGAAACTGCAGCAGATGAAACTGGAATATAGGAAAGTGATCAGTAAATGATTATAGTAATAAAAGCCAGAAATAAGGGCTTTCTTGCCCGAACTAAAAACAGGATACAAAAGTTTGAGAAATATATCAAAGGAATTAATTTTAATTCAACAGTATTGAGAATCAACTGTACTTGGCACTGAAGATGAAGTGGTAAGTAAACTTAGACATGGTCCCTGCTCTCATGGAGATGGCAGATTATTGGTCAGAATGCTCTTACCTGTCATTTTAGAAATTTTGTTAGATCCTTAATACCTCTGAATTACTAATAAACTTTGGTTTTGGCTGAAAAAAAATAGTCCTGTGAATTTTACAATGCAGTTAAATAGGAATCTAAAAGCAAACCTAAATACCACCAAAAAGGCTAGTAAAGTCTGTTGTATGCATTAGCCTTAATCTAAGGAAATATTTTATTATAGGTCTCCTTGAAGAAAATGATATTTTCAGGAATGCTCAAGCAGGTGTTCTCATCAGCACTAATAGTCACCCAATCTTAAGGAAAAACAGAATATTTGATGGATTTGCTGCAGGTTTGTATTTTCCTTTGTTACCTGTGGCTTATGTATGGCTCTGCAAAGTGTTTGGAGTATGTTCATTCTGTTTTGCTTATTAACTAAAATGTGCAAAGTGTGCTGCTAAAGTGGCTGAATGCCTGTTTATTCATTCACTTCTGAGAGCACCTAATCAAGTTCTGGATTCTTCTACTCTAAGCCAGACTCCTAAGAAATGCTTGCCGTTATTGCTTAGTCATGATTATGAAACATTAATTGGGATAATACTTGTATTAACACTAGGAGTACAGATCAGTTCCTCAGATGAATTTACCAATTTAAATCTGCAACAGAAACACAGATGTTAAAATGGATGCAAATGAAACCCAAGTATCACGTATTTAAACTTGAAGACAGGTTGGGGTGCAAAAGAAATTGCGGTTTTCACCATTACTTTTAACAGCAAAAACCACAATTAATGTTGCACCAACCTAAAACTTTGTTAATGTGTAAACTAACTGCCACCTAAACATATTTTTCTGGGCAGTCTCCCCTTCTACATAGTTTACAGCAGTCTTAAAATGTCATTAATAAAAATACTGTCAACCCTTTGTATCACTCGTGAATGTTACTGTCAACGGTTGAAAGAAATACATTTTATTCAGTAGCCATGAAGAGGGTTAATGTACTTTTATAAAAAAACCAGTTTACATGTGCTTGCTACCTTCAGGTTTTTGAGAAGCATTATAAAATGTTTCTACTTGTTTGTAAATTTTACTTCAGGTATTGAAATTACAAATCACGCAACTGCAACACTAGAAGGCAATCAGATTTTTAACAACCGGTTTGGAGGCTTATTTTTAGCATCTGGTGTTAATGTGACAATGAAAGGTATGTTGGAGTCTGTTCTGCCTATAAATATATGCAGTATGCCATGAAAGATAATCAGAAATTGTTTTATAACGTGATTCCTTCTGTCACTCTCCACGTTAGCAACAATTTAAGGTATTTTGAAAGAAACAAAGCCTTCGTTCTAAATGGTTGGAGTCTCTTATACAAGGAAAAATTCTATTCTTAGCTGATTTCTTACAATTACTTCATTGGTTAGCTTCATTTAAAGGTCTTAAAAATAGTGGCTCTTTTTTTCTTTGTAATTCTTAAATAGTGGCTCTTCTATTAGAATAATCCTATAATCTTTAGTTTTTAAAATATTAATGGTCCTCTAGATTTTTACTTATTCTTTCTTTTATTACAGATAACAAAATAATGAACAATCAAGATGCCATAGAAAAGGCTGTTAGTAGAGGCCAGTGTTTATATAAAATATCAAGTTATACCAGCTATCCCATGCATGATTTCTACAGGTAACTTAGAAATGTATTTGTGAATCCTGAAAAAAGGAAGACTAATTTCCTTTTGAAATTAGCAATGCCTAGCATTTGCCAGTGTTGAGTCTATAACTAACATAGGTGTGGTGGATTATGCCTATAATCTTAGTACTCTGGGAGGCTGAGGTGGGAGGATCACTTGAGCCCAGGAGTTCTAAACCAGCCTGGACAACATAGGGATACCTTGTCTCTGCAAAACAAAACCTGTAACTATGGAAAAACTGTGCTGTAGTAACTGGTATCATATGTAACTCAGGTTGTGTAATAATGTATGGTTTTCCTAGAAATTTCAAGATAAAGCTGTTATGTGTTTGATATATCCCAATCACTGTGACAGTGTTGCCTCTTCACTCCTCCAAATTGATTCAGCCCAGAAAGATTTGAGGAGCTTTTAAAACAAATCATTCCTTTTCCCCCAGAAGAGACAAGACGACAGAAAATTCACTTATACCATTAAGGTTCCTTTTCAGAGTTAATCTGGGTTAGAGCCACAAAGAATTTTGTTTTGGTCCTCTTTTTCTTAAACCCAAAGGTCATAGGGTAATACATAATATAAACATAATGGAATGTTTTGCATTAATGACGTTTGAGAAAAGTAATTTAAGCTTTTGCTTTTTAGATGTCACACTTGTAACACCACAGATCGAAATGCCATATGTGTGAACTGCATTAAGAAGTGCCATCAGGGACATGATGTAGAGTTTATTAGACATGATAGGTATGTAGCGCACTTGCTTGCTATATTACCCAATTGTTTTCCCCCTCACTTTCCTAATATTTGGGTTTTCATTTTGCTTTAGGTTTTTCTGTGACTGTGGTGCTGGAACACTGTCTAATCCTTGTACATTAGCTGGTGAGCCTACACATGATACAGATACACTATATGACTCTGCTCCACCTATAGAATCAAATACATTGCAGCACAACTGAATTCCTTCCCTAAAGAAAAAGTCCTGCCATTGTAACATCATAACTTAAAACATTTTTTTGGAAGAAGATTTAAAATATTTGCCCATGCTACAGGAAGAGACTGTATTAAAAATGGATACACAAGGTCAGTTGACACTATGAAGCTCAAGCTACCAAAAAGAAAGTGGCAATATATGACTCAGGATCTCAAAGCTGGGTGTTTTAGCATTACTGTGTAAAGACTTGAAGGGACAGAAGTGAAGAAAATAAGCTGCAATTTTGTACAGATACCAACTTCTGAAAAGCTGGTGTTTTTACAACTAGCATTGAATGCAGTCCAATTTGCAGTAGTAATCTTCAATAGACAAGCAGCTTTGTTGCTGCCTTTATGGACATGGGTACCAATTGCTTTTGTAATATGGTAAAAATGTGAGCTAGCACTTCTGCGTTCCTTTTCATTTTTTTAACATGTATTCAGACTGAGAAATATGATTTTAATGCTTTAATCTCATGTAGTTTGTTTTTAATTTCAAGCAAAATCTTATTGTACTTGAATGTGCCCTGTTTTGTTAGCACACCTAGACTTGCTGTAACTGTACTCATGTCCCAGTATGTACGTTCTTTCTATGAAAGAGAAAACACTAATCTTAAATTATATCCAGCAATGTTTCTGGTATCCTTTAAGAAAAGTTAATACTATTATTATTTCCTTTCCTTCCCTGTGCAGCATTCAAAATCACCCCTAGAAAAAGTGTTTTATTGAGACTTCCTAGGAAGGGATGCACTGTAAAACAAAAGTATTCTTGTAACTCAGTTTTGTGAAAGGTAAAAAACTACTATGTTTTAAAGTACACTTTAGAAAGTCTCTTCAAAACAGTCCTGTATTTGAACTCTGTTCATAGTTTTTTTTTGAACAGTTTAGACAAAACTGCTGGAAATTAAAACAATTTCCTGCATTAAGCTGAGACAAGTATATATACAGCCCTATACAGTTTCATAGCTTTTCCTCCCCCATTTATGTGTATTGGTGACAGTGGGTATAAAACAGCCTGAAAGTGTATGCATGTACCATAACATCTAGACTTAATATATTGTGGAGTATTCAATAACCATTATGTAGAAGGTAGATAAGAATTAAAAGGGTTTAATTTCCTAGAAAGAAAATGGAAAAATGGTCATTTTTAAAAAATAAAGTTTATTAGATCATAATGTTGTCTGAATTTACCACCTTTGTCAGAAGTTAACTCAAAGCTTCCAATGTAGTCTATAATTCCTTAATCAAAGTCAGCAATTTATGGACAGCTTCAGCATCTACAGTTGACCTTTCACTAGCCAGGCAAACTTCCCTTAAAATTTAAAAAAAAAAAAAATAAAAAAAAATAAATTATTTTTCATAGTATATCATCCCTCCCCCTTTTACTGTTTTTTTTGAAACTTAAGGTCAGTTATAAGTCTATTATAGTTACCGAAATAATCGTAGTGACTGATTCATCTTCTCAAATTCTCTTGCTTTTCTATGTCCCTTTTGAATAACTTCCTCTGGAAGATTGGCAAGTCTTGCTGCATTAAAGCCATAGCTTTTAGGACAAGCTCCCTTAATGAATTTATAGAGGAAGGTAATAGTCTCCTGGCTGGGGTCTTCACATTCATTTTCTACCATGCATGCCTTATAAGAAAGAAAAATATTAGCAATACATGTGCTAGCAACCGAAGTGCCCACTTGATTTCCTCAAAAAAAAAAAAAAAAAAAAAAATTGTGTGAAATGAACAATTTGCACATACCATGTGTCCTAGGCGCACAGCAACGTTTTGAGAATAATCTTCTACTAATGAATGGTAGTGAGTTGAAAACAATGTACGACATTTTATAGTCTCAGCAAGTTCTTTAACAACTGCATTTGCTATTGCTGTCCCATCAAATGTTGCCGTACCTCTTCCTGTTAAAGTAAAATATGCATAAGGATATAACTCAAAGGAATTAAAAACCCTAGGACAGAAAAACAGCATCAATAAATAGGCCTTGTTTAGCTAAACAAGTATGCTTAGCAGCCCATGAGGAGTGGGGTTTCTTTTAAAGAAAATATAGAACCACTCAAGATCAAAAATTTCCTGAGTACTATTAGTGTTCTCATCCCCATATTATAACAAATGTTTTATTATAACTAAGCAGTGTAAACCCTTAGTAATAGGTAATCAAAAACCTTTTACAGCATCACCTTTTCTCTCCAAATATGGGTCTGTGCCACAATGGTGAGTGCATGCTCTAAAGACATTCATATTGTTTAGATGTCCTTCAGATAATCTTCCAGAAAAGTAGTTCTTGTACAAATGTTTTTAAGATAGCCTTCAGATGAAAAGTTTAATGTCTTACCTAATTCATCCACAAGCACCAGAGAATGTGCTGTTGCATGCGAGAGTATGCTGGCAGTTTCACTTAATTCAACAAAAAATGTACTTTCACCTAAAAAAAAAAAAAAAAAAAAAAAAAAACAACCCACAAATGAATACTCATTTCATATTACATGCGTTCATCTTCTAGGTTATATAGCCTATCATGAGCTACACATATTGGTATAAAAGATTAAATCTCATTAGCAGACTATGCAGTTCTTGGCTGGGTGCAGTGGCTCACGCCTATAATCCCAGCACTTTGGTAGGCCAAGGTGGGTGGATCACCTGAGGTCAGGAGTTCAAGACCAGCCTGGCTAACATGGTGAAACCCCATTTCTACTAAAAATACAAAAAATTCGCCGGGCATGGTGGCACACACCTGTAAAAGCAGCTACTCGGGAGGCTGAGGCAGGAGAATCGCTTGAACCCAGGAAGCAGAGGTTGCAGTGAGCAGAGATCGTGCCACTGCACTGCAGCTTGGGCAACAAAAGCGAAACTCCATCTCAAAAAAGAAAAGAGAGAGACTATGCAATTCTTAATCATTTGATTTAAAAGGCTCATATACAAGAGGCAAATGTCCTTATCACATCTAAATGAATGAATAAGAACTTAGGTAGGAAACAACTCACCTGACATTATTCTATCTGAGGCACCAAGTCTAGTAAACACTCTGTCAATTGGTGTGAGCCTGCACACTTCAGCAGGGACGTAACAACCCATCTGGGCCATTACAACTAATAAGCCAGCCTGTGAATGAGGGAGGAAAAGGTCTTTTATGACTGACGGGTAGTTTTAACTTTTGTCTTTCTTATGAACCCTTATGTAAGAGTTAGGCATTCTAAAAAAAACTTTCACAATCTCATATAGATTGGTTCTGTTCTTCTGAAATCCATTTGCTAAAATGGAGAAAAGCTGAGGCTAAGAGAGACAAGAGGCACATAGGACCTGACTGGCCTTCAAAACATCAGAGCCTTACTAACCCACTACTCTAGTGATTCTCAGTGTTGGCCAGAGTAGAATCACCTAGGAGCTCTTTAATACTACTGATTTGCTTAGAACCAATTCCAATCAACTGAATCCATTTTGTCCTTCTTTCAGGTGATTCTGATTTAAACCAGTGTATACACTATACTGCCTCTCTCTAGCAAATTAGACAAGCAGGAGAATACAATGCAGGAAAGCAGCAGGGACCAGCCAACTACTGCTGCTTTTTCTTAAAACCTATTAAAAGTATTTAAAAATTTAAAAGATCTGTGGCTGGCCAACCCCTGGTATCAAGGGAAGATAAACATCAAAAAGGCCCTAAAAAATGATTTTTTTAAAAAAATTAGCTAGGCTTGATGGCACACACCTGTAATCCCAGCTACTTGGGAGGCTGAGACAGGAGGATGGCTTGAGCCTGGGAGTTTTGAGGCTGCAGTGAGCTGTGATGGTGACACTGCACTTCAGTCTGGGCAACCCAAAAAAAAAAAAAAGGGCTAGCATGTCATCACTAAAGAGCAGTGCCCAACAGTTGCTACAGGACATGAACTATTTGCTTTCCTACCTAAGTTAGCCATACGCTGTTGACATTAAGGATTTCTGCAAATGAGTCTAATTGAAAGATAAACCTGTAACATTTCATCTTTTCATACAGCCTTTTGTTATTGATTCTGAATATACCTACCTTCTGAGGAAATGAATTCAAGTCAAAGAGCATCATGACCTGAATGACTGACTGACTTCCCCTTTTTAATATATATTCCCCTTAACGCTAAGCAGAGGTATTTGAGGAAATACAATTCTCAAGTTTACAACACAGGGATTATTTCCCTGGCTGAAATTTATCAGTTGTGTTTGGAAAATGATCACCTAAATTATGTAATATATTTATTCCTAATGTCACAAATGACTTTCTAATAACAAAAACTCAAGAATCAGTTACCTGTCTCATGAGCGTAGACTTGCCCCCCATATTTGGTCCAGTAACAAGCACACAATAGGCTTTGCCATTTTCCTCCTCTTCTTCACAGCCTATTAGAATGTCATTAGGAATAAAATCATCTCCAAAAAAAGTCTTTGTAATACAAGGATGGCGTGATCCTTTAAGCTCTAAGAAAGGGGGGGTATCTTCTGGCAACAGAATTACTGGGCGACACATTGGACCATCACCCCCTCGACTATAGTTAGCCAGGCACAGTAAGACATCTGTTAAAAGAGAGGGTAAAAGTGAGGCTTCATCATTTTTGAGGTTTTGTCAGCCTAAGTGTTTTACAGGTCTTCACTATAACACTTATAATGAAATGAGAGATAACTTTCAATTACAATCCAAAGATCTCTCCCCCTCAAAGTACTCATCCTCTAACATGTGAACCAGAGAAGTGCCAAGGGGAAGCTAAAAGATATAGCAGAGAGATGCCATACTTAAGCCTTACTTAGCAGAATGTCCTAAAATTGGCACATTGATATTAAAACAATCTCTGAAGACTGGTTTTTGCACACCTGTGCTGAGGAAAGATTTTAAATTACCCAGGAACCAAATGTGACACATTAAAAGGAAATATACTATTCTGTTCCACTGGACAGTTGTGTTCAGATCAAAACTGTTCTGTCTTACTGTTGTTCAAATTCAAGTAAAGCATAGTTATTAAAAAACAGGACTGGGCACAGTGGCTCAGGCCTGTAATCCCAGTACTTTGGGTGACCAAGGCAGGCAGATCACTTTGAGGTCAGCAGTTCGAGACAAGCATGGCCAACACGATAAAACCTCGCCTCCAGCAAAAATACAAAAATTAGCCAGGCATGGTGGTGCCCACCTGTAGTCTTAGGTACTTGGGAGGCTGAAGAGGAAAATCACTTGAACCCAGCAGTTCGAGGCTACAGTGAGCTATAGTCATGCCACTGTACTCCAGTCTGAACAGAGCAAGATCTTGTCTCTAAAAAATTTTAAAACATATAGAACATAAACCTAAACTATAAAACGGCAAAGGTTCCAGGTAATGTTGGCCATGATATTTAAAGAACAAAATTGCTTATGAAGTTGAGATGGTTGCCAAATTGAAAATTTCTAACTCAGGGCTTTGTAAAGTCAATTGCAGGAAAGAATCTTTGACAGTTTCGCTAAAAAAAAAAAAAATGACCCTTTAAAATTGTATGCAAATGGTTTCACTGAAATACAAAATGGGAAAAAATGCAAAGCTAATAATAAAAGTTTAAAATGATGGTTCAAGAGATAGTGTTTAACAAAGCACCTTGAAACAGTATTCACCAAGTACTAAAAAGTTCAATTAAAAATAAAATGGGATCTAAAAGTCTCATTAAGTATACAACACATTGAAACATCTTTAGGGCCAGGTACGGTGGCTCCTGCCTAGAGTCCCAACACTTTGGGAGGCCGAGGCAGGTGGATCACCTGAGATCAGGACAAGACCAGCCTGCCAAACATGGTGAAACCCCGTCTCTACTAAAAATACAAAACTTAGGTGGGCATGGTGGCTCGTGCCTGTAGTCCCAGCTACTTGGGAGGCCAAGGCAGGAGAATCACCTGAACCTGGAAGGCAGCAGTTAAGAGTGAGCCAAGATCACGCCACTGCACTCCAGCCTGGGCAACAGAGAGAGACTGTCTCAAAACAAAAAATCTTTTGGTCAGGCCTAGTGGCTCATGCCTGTAATCCCAGCACTTTTGGGAGACTGGAGGATCTAGGAGTTCGAGACCAGCCTGGGCAACATAGGAAAACTTTATCTCCCTTCCCCCTTCTCCTCCATGCCAGTGCTTACCTATAAATCCTAGCTAACTAGGATGCTAACACGAGAGGTCTGTCCTAAGTAACACAGCAAGAGACTGTCTAAAAACAAAAACCTTTTGTTCAATTATTAAAAGCTGAAGAAAGGGCCGGGTGCAGTGGGTCATGCCTGTAATCTCAGCACTTTGAGAAGTCAAGGCAGGAGGATCACTCGAGCCCAGGAGTTCAAGACCAGCCTTGGCAACACACTGAGAGTCCCACCTCTACAAACATTTAAATATTAGCCATGCATGGTGGTGCTTATCTGTAGTCCCAACTACTTGGGAGGTTGAGGTGGAAAGTTCACTTAAGCCTGGGAGGTTGAAGCTGCAGTAGCCATGGTTGTGCCACCATACTCTAGCCTGGGCGACAGAGCAAGACCCTGTCTCATAAAGAAAAAAGGACTGAAGGCCAAAGGGCTACTAAGATAGAGTTTCAAGTGAGTGACTTAAATTGCTGTGGGCAACCTAGATGCAAATATGTACCACATATACCTTGTTACTTATGTTTAGGGATAATATAGAGCTGACACAGAGCACTAAACAAAGCCTGAGGAAGAAGCTTATTGAAAGTCTTACCCAACACCGCTATACACTCTACAGCAGACTGCCAGTCCTTGTAATTTTTATCAAAGTTATAGAACAGTCGCCGCATGCAGTCCTTCAATGATACATCTCTCCGTTCTTCAGCATTTATGAGATTAGCCAACTTCTTCTCAATAGTTTTGGTCCAGTATCGTTTACAGCCCTTCTTGGTAGATTTCAATTCGTATTCTTCTGGCAAATTGCGAGTAGTAAAATTCTCAGGAATTTCCAACTGGTAACGGTTCCTACCAATCCCCCAATAGACTATGGTCCTACAGCCAATTCTGTTGCGCTGTTTCTCTAGGTATTCCAGGAGGCTCTGTTCATTTTCTCTTATGTCAGCAAGAGCTTGGTCATAATCAGAGTCAAAGCCTGCTTTGGGAGTAATAAGTCCAGTCTTCCGAGCCTTTTCATGGTCAAAGGCTGTATCCCATCTGTTCAACTCTATAGTCAAATCAGGAAAACGGCCTTCAGGATTTTTTGTCTGCAGAGAGATGACCTGCTTAAGGATTTTAGACTTAAAACCATCAATAACTTCTTCCATGATCTCTATAATTTTACACATTACTTTGAATCCTTCCAGAGCAGAAAGAAAATCAATAATCTTTTTTTTGCTGTATGTCGTTTCTTCATACATTATAGCCCTGCTATCTGGGTGGTTCTGACTCTTCAGGGGAGACCCAACATTATGAATTTTACTGAGTAGTCTCTCAAGATCTGGAAGCTTCTTTAGAAGCTCTACAACTTCGGAGGTTTTGTCAGGTACAACCATGAGGTCTTCTATGGCATCGAGACGATCATTGATAGCATAAGGGCTACAGAGTGGAGCACAAAGCCATTGCTTTAGGAGCCGCTTACCAAAGGGAGTATGGCAAGTATCAACCCTCTCCAGCAGGGTTCCTTCAGCAGAACCATTTGTTCCATTCAGAAAAATCTCCAAGTTATTTAATGTCACTGCATCTAGCACCATTCGTTGATATGCTTTGGTGAAGACAGCACCAGATCTCGTAGTGCTGACTATGTCAGAATCCAAGGGAATATATTCTTCAAAATTAGCCATTGATAAGAGCTCCTGATCAATAAGGCATTTTTTGAGGTAGAAGACACAACCACCGAGAGCAGAGAGGGCCAGTTCACTTTTCTCTCCTGGTGTCAACCCAATGGAATCAGACTCTGAAGTCATACCTTTAAGCACCTGGGGTAACAGCACCCCAATGTCATCACTTAGTTTTTCCCTAAAATATCCTTCCTCAAGGAGAATTCTCAAAGTTTTGGATGCATCCCAGAACTGGGAGCCTGGTATCAGACCTTCCTGAAGAGAAGAGGACAATGAACTCTTTAGAATTGTTTTAGTTTCCTTTGAGAGATTTCCTTTCTCAAATAAGACTTGTACTGGAGGATAGTGTGCCACTAGAGTCCTAAATCTCGAACAATGGCGATCATCTGAAAACTGACCTATGAAAAACTTCCCCAGTGAAGTATCAACAAAGCATACACCATATGCACGAGTATGGCCAAAAGAATCTTCCTCTTTTTCTTTGAGGCTAAGAAGATATTTACTGTAGTTCTCAGAAGGATCACCTTCCAGCACACTGTAGGTCTGCGTACCCTTGGTAATGATCCTACAGATCTCCCTCCTCACCACTCTATCATACTTGGATATATGTGCCATCTTTCGGCATCGTGCCTCCATCATTTCCGGAGTCTCAGTCTGTTCCACTCGTGCTACTTTATAGCCCTTCTGCACCAGGGAATCTGAATAACGGCCAAATGCAATTTCAGGAAAACCAGAATGGGCCCAGTTGCCTTTCATGAATACTAGCCCCAGTTCACTGACTCCAATAAGAGCATCCATGTGGTACAGTTCATAAAATTTCCCCACCTTGTAACAGATGACAAGATCAAAGTTCTGAGACTTAATCTGCCACCACTTCCTCATCCCAGGAGTACAAGAATTAAGAAAATCCTCAGGCACATAGAGTGTGGATCCATCAAAATCGGGGTGATCAGGCCGCCTCCTATGCTCATCTCTTCTCTTTTCCTCCTTAAGCCATTCTAAAGTTTCATGATACCAAACAGTGGGGCGACTACTGTCATCACCACCTCCACTAACGTGGGCTTGGGATTCAGAATTCTGAGGGGCAGAGAAAGCACTCAAAGTATTTTTGGTTTCTGATGAAATGCCAATTGCTCGTCTGGTGGCTGAGGGAGCGTCCTTCCTAGAGCTTTTTCTTTTAAGAGAGCCATTTCCAGTCACCATTCTCTTCCGCTTTCGAGCAACTTTGACAGGGCTGTTCAAGCCTTCACTCTCACTATCCCCTACTCCACTGCTTATTTCATCACTGCTTCCTTCCTCTTTAGTGTCTGGCTTAAATTCCACATCAGAGCCACCGATGTCACTCTCAGAGTCTGATATGACTCTCCTTTTTTTTATTTGGCGACTACTTCGCCTAGATCCTTGTGTCTTAGGCTGTACTTCCTCTTCACTCTCAATTTCGTTATCTTCTTCACTCTTATCTGTTACGTAAGTTGTGCCTACCTGCAGACAAGGAAAGCATATTTAAAAACAAATCAAAATTTGGAAAACTGTAACATAGACAGTTCGACTTACAATGTTTTTGACTTTATAATGGTACCCATGCAACCATTTTTAGTACAGTATTCGATAAGTTACATGAAATATTCAATTCCTTATTATAAAATAGGCTTTGTGTTAGATGATCTTGCCCAACTTTAGGCTAACATTTAAGTGTTCTAAGCATCTCTGAGATAGGTTAGGCTAAGCCCAAGCTACAATGTTCAATGGGGTAGGTATATTAAACACATTTTTAGTTTATGTAACCCCATCATAAGTTGAGGAGCCATCCGTACTGCAACTTCATATACCAATAGAAAAACCTACCTCCAAAAATTAGAAACTTCTTTCTCAAGGAACATCAACTTCAGTTTCACCTGACATTAAAACAACTGCCATTTTCCATGCCAATAGTGTTCCTGCAAGCATGGTGAAAAAACCCTCTGCACTTTCTGTAAGTGTGGCAGGCACCAACCCTACAAAGTGACACAATTCAAAAAGGGCAAGGATTCTCTGCCCAGGGAAAGTAGCATTATGAAGGAAGCATAGTGGGTATGGGGGTAAGTTGACTCTGGCTAAAACACTAAAACAAAGAAGGTTGCGCTGAGGCTTGAGTTTCGGCTGAAGTGCAGATCCAAGGGAATGCTAGCTATTAAGAGATGCAAGCATTTTGAAATGAGAGGAGGTAAAAAGAGACAGGGCAAATTGATCCAGTTCTAAGCCTCATCTTTTGTTTTACTATAAAGACAATAACATCTTGAGGTTATGTTCAACAACACACAAAAAGTGCTGCACCAGGCACAGTAGCAGGTACCCGCAGAGAGATTCGCTAAGCCCGAGTCCAAGGCCAGCCTGGCAACATAGTGAGACCCCATCTCTAACTATAGGATTAAGTGATTGCTGTCATGGGAGTTCTATTTATGGCAAAACTGTTGGCATGACCATGTATCATAAATACCCGGAGGTGATGTCCTCATTTCTTAGGCTTACTGCCTAAGAAAGCAGTAGGCAACTTATACTGGTTCTAGTGTTTGCTCTTCGAAAATTGGCTGTCTCATCTCAGGCCTGGCACATTTACCTATCATGGATCTCCTTCATTTGTTAAACCAGCATTAGGCTAAATGATCTCTGTAGTTCAACCTTAAATACCCACTTTATTAACTTGCTTATTTCCCTATCTCATCTACAGAGAAACAGGAACAAAACATGAAACTGAACTTAATTGTAGCTGAATCTCTCTCAGGATGTAGCTCACTAATTTGATAGATCAGAGAATAATGATCTTTTGGTTTCCCTGGGCCACACTGGAAGAACTGTCTTAGGGTTGCCTAACACCAATGACAGCTGATGAACTTAAAAAAAAAAAAAAAAAAAAAAAAAAAAAAAAAAAAATCACAAAATCATGTTTTAAGAAACTTTATGAATTTGTGTTGGGCTGATTTAAATGCCATCCTGGGCCGCGGACTGGACAAGCTTGTTTTAAATCAATTTTTTTTTTTTTCACTTCCATAACAAGTTGTGTGTGTGTGTGTCAAGGTCTTGCTGTCAACTGGGCTGGAATGCAGTGATGCAATCTTGGCTCACTACAATCTCGGTGCCTTCCAGGTTCAAGCAATTCTCATGCCTCAGCCTCCTGAGTAGCTGGAACTACAGGTGTGTGCTACCATACCTGGTTAATTTTTGTATTTTTTATAGAGACAGGGTTTCACTGTGTTCATCAGGCTAGTCTTGAACTCCTGTCCTCAAGAGACCCATCTGCCTCAGTGCTGGGATTATAGGCATGAACCACCACTCTTGGCCCCATAAAAAGTTTTAATTCACTTTATCCATGACCACTAACGTATGAGCCAAGGTTGTATTTCAAGGTTTATTTAACATCCATTCTTTTTTTTTTCTTTGAGACAGAGTCTCGCTGTGTTGCCAAGCTGGAGTGCAGTGACGTGATCTTGGTTCACTGCAACCTCCACCTCCCGGGTTCAGGTGATTCTCCTGCCTCAGCCCAGAGTGGCTGGGATTACAGGCGCCCACCACCACACCCGACTAATTTTTTTGTATTAGTAGAGACAAGGTTTCACCACGTAGGCCAGGCTGGTCTCGAACTCCTGACCTTGTGATCCACCCGCCCTGACCTCCCAAAGTGCTGGGATTACAGGTGTGAGCCACAGCGCCCAGCCAACATCTATTCTTATCAATGCAAAATACAACAAAAAAGGTCTCAGAATTAAAAGCATAAAGCTGGGGCTGGGCGCAGTGGCTCATGCCTGCAATCCCAGCACTTTGGGAGGCCAAGGTGGGTAGATCCCTTGGGCTCAGGAGTTTGAGACCAGCCTGGGCAACACAGCAAGACCCCATCTCAATTTTTTTTTGGGGGAAAAAAAAAAGCATAAAACTGGGTAATTAATTTCTAGGGCCTGACTATACCTTCATATATATATGACCCCATCTTTATTGTCCCTAGCTCTCTACGTCTTAACAAAAGAGGGCCGGGCGCGGTGGCTCAAGCCTGTAATCCCAGCACTTTGGGAGGCCGAGGCGGGTGGATCACGAGGTCAAGAGATCGAGACCATCCTGGTCAACATGGTGAAACCCCGTCTCTACTAAAAATACAAAAAATTAGCTGGGCATGGTGGCACGTGCCTGTAATCCCAGCTACTCAGGAGGCTGAGGCAGGAGAATTGCCTGAACCCGGGAGACGGAGGTTGTGGTGAGCTGAGATCGCGCCATTGCACTCCAGCCTGGGTAACA